TGTTACTATGTGTTTGTTTAATAAAGTTAATCTATATACTGTTACTATTTTAAACTATTTGTCTGCTATTATATAGTAAAGTGAACTACTATACCTCCATCTTATATATATTTGCAATAGTCAATTACTGTACTAAATGATCTTGTTACTTAGTTGTATTATACTAAGAAGGCTACAACTCTGTAATAGTATATATAATATTATATTTCATATAAATGCTTTAAGCTCCCAATATTGATAGGATCTGACTTAATATATCTAAGTTACAGCTGCATGAGGTCAACTAATTAACAGAAGACAGTTATTATAATGCAAATATAATTTTTAAATTTTATTATAAATAGGATTTGAATCTTAAACCTACTACTTGAAGGATGACAATCTAACTACTGCACTAGGATCATTATTCTCATTTAATAATTTAATTATTTCATATATCTGATTTCTATTATTATTTTCAGATATAGTTTCTTTATATTCAAAAGAGTTATTAGCTACTTCATTTTTAACATGCTCAAAATTTAACTTTTCATTTTTATAAAACTGGTATTAACTATTTACTATAATATTCTCTTATTTAGTAACTATTTTTTTATACTGAATATCATATTTGAATTCAACTTTTTCTATTTTTGTATTTTTTAAAAAGTCAGAGACAATTCTAAAAAACAATATAGTATTTATAGACTGTAGCATAGCTTGAGTAAAAAATTATTGGGTCTTAGTATAAGTTTTAGCAATATAAATATGCATATAATTAAAGTATGTTTTATATTCTTTGATATTACAATATAAAAGTAAATTATTAAATAAAATTTTATTTAACTCTTTATTATAGTTTTAAATATTATATAAGAAGTATATTTATTTTTTAGTTTTATTAATATTATAAGTTGAATTGAAGAAGCATCTAATTCTGGTTAAATGTCATTTAACATATTTATTATGATATTTTTTATTAATAATATTTTGAAGAGATAGTTTTATGAAGGTCAAGAATCCTACATTACTTTTATCAACCTTTACTAAAAAAGAAGCACAAATTTTATTAATAAAAAAAATATTTTAATTATTTATAATAGATGAGTTTTTTTTTTTCTGATAGTAAGAATTTGATGTATTTAAATAAGATTTTATATGTGAGAGTGCCTGAGTGGCATATTGAAGTTAAAAAAGATGTAGATACAATACTTTTAAGAAAACTAGATGTTGCTATATAATAATTCTAATCTTAATAAAAACAATAAAATAAAATTTGTATGATTAATTTACAATACAAAATTATTTTATTGTGAATATTATGATTTGTTAATGTAATATGTTATTTTAATTTTATTTTATATAAAAAAAATTTTATATAAGAAATAATTCACTTATTGCATTTAATATAATATATTAAAATTAGTTATATATGTTAAATACTTAACAAAATCTTAGTTAATAATATGTTATTATTAAATATATTAAAGAATACCTAACAAGAATATGATTTTATTTAAAAATTTATTATTATTAAATATGTTAAAAATGTTTAAAATATCTTATTTAGATACATATTATTGTATTAATAATGTTAATTTAGTTATCTTTTTTAAGTTAGTGTCTAAAGTTTATATTTATTATAAATATACAAATATAGTTAATTCTTAATTCTTCAAATTACTACTTAATTAAACAATCAAGAAAGAGAAATGACAATATGAAAATATCCAAATATGCTAAAATAAGAATTCTTGATAAGTATATTTAAAGCTCTTTTTGCTCTAATTTAGAAACACATTATTTGCTAATAATATTAATTTAGTTATCTTTTCTAAACTAGTACTTAGAAGTTTATACTTGTTAAATATAATGAGTATATTATTTTAGTGGTTCTTACTTATCAAGTTCTTATTTCCAATTAAAAGCATATTATATTAAATGATTAATATTTAGAATTTTATATTTATATATATGCAAATATACTATTTGTTTAATAACATTTACATTTTAATATAGTAATATTAAGTGTTTATTTAGTAGAGATTAAGAATTTATTGTATTATATTATAGAACTTTTTTTTTTATTCATGTATATTTTCAATTAAAAAATTATTAATGCATATTAACAATATGTTAAAGATTATTTATACTTAATTAGGATTATTATAGCATATCTTCTAAATTTAAAGTTTTAACAATTATTATTTAATTTTATATAGTTTAATAACTTCTAATAGAAAATTAAAATAAAGCTTTTCTTATTATTATTCAAAGATCTTTTGTATATTATTATTTACTTAATAATTAATATTTATTAAAATTAAATATATTGTATTTTATTTAATTTTTTGTATAATTGTTAATTTAAGAATCAAACATTTTCAAATTTAATTTATTAATAAAAAAAATCTTTTATAAAATTAATCTCATCAAATATTATAATAATTATCAAAATTATAATAATTTAATTAAAATACTATATTCATATATAATTAAATAATTAAATAATACAAGTTTTAAGTAATTACAATTTTAGTTTTATATGTTTGCTTAATAGTGCCATTTTTTTATATTTATTTAGAGAACAAAAAAAGATTTAAACCAAATATACATTCATTTAAATAAACATGTTCTAGTAAAAACTATTATATATTTATACTGTACTAAATACTAAAACAAATAATAGCAATTAATACTTTAAATTCAAATTATTATTCTTTAATAAATAATAAATTCTAATATATATTTTGTAATAATAAGCATATTAAAAAAATTATATATTATTAAAGTAAACAATAACAATTAGCTTTTAAATTCTAATTTATTGCTTTTTAATAAATATACTAATATGAATTTATTTTGTAATTATTTACTTTGCTTTTTGTAATTTACAATTTTACAGTTTCTGATTTTTCAAAGTATATAAAAAAATGTTTATCACAGAAAAAAGATAGTAATTAACTTATTTGAACTTTTTTAAGCATAGTAAAAATATTAAAATTCTAAATATAAACTATTTTAACATATATTTTCTTAAAATTGTAGTTTAATTACAAAAATAACAGACTTAGTTCAAACAAATAAATGACAATGATTTTAATTTTATAATAAAAAAAATTATTAAGTCTTAAAAAATAAATGCTAATACTCAAAGAAAATATAATGATATAATTATACATGCTTGTAACTTACCTAATCAACAACTATTCAATGCATTAAGTCTGTTTTAAATCATAACCTATTCTCAAGAAATAATAAAAAAGAAATAATCTTTACCTATTTACAAAGATAAACTTAAAAATCTACACTTAGCTTCATTTATTTTCTAAACAGATAGCAAGAGCAAAATACTTGAAACAAAGACAAGTTTTAAAAATTTTGTTTATTAATTTATAAAACAAAGAAAATTTAATTTGCTTAATTTTATTATGTTGTCAACAAATTGTTTAAAATTAATAATAAAGAATATAATGCTAGCTTTGTAAAATTAGCAACTGATATAGTAATATAAGACAAACTTCTATATATGTAACTGTAAAATATATTTAGGCTATCTATAAATTCTTAACTAAAGAGATATCACAGTATTAGTTAATATCAAAAACTTTAGCATAATGAAATAATGAAGTAATAACTTTGTCATTTAATCAAAATTTTTCTAAAGATGTTTCTTCTAGGTTTTTTTGATTATAGTATTATAGCTGATAAAAGCATATATGAAAAAAAAATATTAATTATTTGTTTTTTATATTGGAATGATAACAAATTAAAACTAATAATTATTATAGTAAAAATAACAAATATAACATATTGTAATTCCAAAACAGTTTCTATTACAGTATTTGAAATGTGTAAAGAGAAAAGGATTGATTTTTAAAAATATTATTATTGGTTAACAGATAACATAACCTATGTCTTTAGAGACTAATAGTGCTGTCACTAAATTTAACTTATTAGCAACATCTTAATCTTTTCAATTTTTTTGTAGATTATATACAACTTATATTGTCCTAAGAAATTTTGAAAATATGACATTTGGAAAGCTAGATTCTATTAAAAAATTATTATTAAAAGAACATTTATTTAATCTACTTAATTTGACTTTTTATCTTTACAATAGATATAATTTTTTAGATAAGAACAGTTTATTAAATCTAAAATTAGAAATATTAAAAAAATTTTATAAAGTAATGTTTAATTTTAAAATATACAAATATCAACAGCCTATTCATCAATAGTGGTTATATGAACTTAAAACTATCAAACAATATCTTGACCATTGTGAAGTTCATATTAAATTTGTTCAATTTTTCATTAAGTAACTTAAAATACCAAAAATGTTCTAACATTATATTTATATAAATGGCAAATATTTTTTAAGTAGTTTACAGATTAGCAACTTAATTTTTAAATAAGTTGCCTAGTTAAATTTAGACAAAAGTTTTATAAACCTGTTTATGATTTTTTAACTAGATATAATTCAACTTCATAAATTTACTGTTCAAATAATATAAATACTTTTCTTCTAAGAAATCATGCTTATAAAATATCAGATAAAATAATAACATAAATTTAAAAGCTTCAATATTATCTAGAAAACATTTTTAGATTGGTTAAAGATAAATTAGTTGATACTAAACACCAATTAGATACAATAGATTTTAAAAATTTCCATAAAGTATTATGAACTAGAATAAAGAATGCATTTGATAAATTTATTAAATGAATAGAAGTTTAAATTTATTTATCTTTAAGAATATGTTAATTAGATAGAAAAAACAGACCAAAATTTGCTTGTACTGTTTTAAATATTTTTTTAATAAAAATTTTTCAAAAACTCTTACTTTGCAAGAAATCTATTATATTCAAATTTTAAAGAAAAAATTGTCTAATGAATGTTTGAATTATTAAAAGCATTAGGCAGTATAATTATTTTGAAAAGTTCAAAACATATACAAATTCTAATAAAATAAACTTAATAAAATTTTTTTAATATATGAATTTGTTAAATTTTGTATATGGAATATTGTGATGTATCAATAGCAATTAAAGTAGTTATTTAATTACAATAATATAAAGTTCACCTTAATATAGATGCTCAACTACAAGAATTGTATATTCAATTTTTTAGTTTAAATAACAGATTGCAAAAAATTTTTCAAAAAATGTTACAAGATATTCAAAATTTAATAAACAATTAGAAAGTAACAATATTTCTAAAGAAGAAAAAACATATAAAATACTTAATAGCTTTTTTACCTAGTAAAATAAAAAATAATCACTAGTTTTAATTTAAAAAACTATATAATATAAAAATTATTTTTTATTTTCAAATGATTGTAACTGATCATTTGTTAACTATTAAAAAAAAAACTATTATATATAATAAAATTTAGTTAAAATAGTTTTTTTTTTTTTTAGATCTTTATAAAAAAATATCTAGTACTATCATGCTTATTAGATCAAAACTAATATTAATAACAGGGCAATATTGCTTATTTATTTGATTCTGTTTATGAGAAAAATTAGTTGATTATCAAAAAATAAATAAAATTCTAACATTATTATTGTAGAAAGATAATTTTTATTAAGTATTTCACTATTATAGAATTAAAAAATATTAAGTATTACAAGAAAAATTAAAAGTAAAGAAAAGTTTTTTTTTTATAATCATTTAATATAGAGGTAGATATAAAAATTTATTTTTTTATTTTTTTATTTTTTTTAACTTTGGCAGCTATAATGGTCAACCAGTTAAAAGTTTATTTATAAATATTTAGTATAAATGATATACAAATATAACTATATCTAATCTCACATGTTATTATTATACAGTTACTCTAATTGGCACCTATGAGTAATCTGCTACATCAGACCTGCTAAAGTCTAAATCAAGCTTATCTGTCTGCCATCTTATAATTGAATAGCATTAATCTAATATTATTTATTTATAAGAAAGTAAAAAAATAAAAAATAAATTTTTTTTGTTAAGAGAAGAATGTACTAAAAAAATATATATAAGAAGAAATATAAAAAAAAAAACAAATATTAAGAAATAAAAGGAAGAAAGGTTGCTATTGAAGGTCAAACAAACAGTCACTAATTATAAAGGTTGTATCAATTTACTAAAAATTATATATTACTAAATATAGTAATCTCTACTTTAACTCTATTTAATTAACATATTTAATACTAAAGCTTATCTTTTAAGAAAAACAATTCAACCAAAACTGAACTGACAGAGAATTTTTCATATACTAGATGCTCTGACTTCTTATCACTAAATTCATCTTCATGTATGACTTATTATACTTTTTATTAGATCTTACATTTCAATACTTGTTACATTTTGATTAATCATTTTATCTTTTGCAAAAATCTCTAATCTTGTCTTATTGTTATGTTTTTTTTAAAGCATGTATATTCATACTTTATCTACAACACAGATTCTTTTGAAATAAAACTGATAAATTATTCTGATTTGGAAAGATCAACAATGCTGATTTTAATAGAAGTAAGCTAAATTGCCTACTTTTTGATAAAAATATTTTGAGAAAAAGTGAAAAGAAAATTTTTTAGAATACCAATTGTAATGAATATAAAAGTTTATATTATATAGAATAGTATATTTAATCAGACTTCTATCTTTGCTATTGCTCAGATATAGTTTGCCAAAAACTTTCTTGATTGTAGTTAAAATTATTTTTTCAATAGCTCTATAAACTTTTACCAAAGAGCCAAACCTACATGAAGCTGTCTTTTTCAATTCTTTTTCATATCACCTATATGCAATCTGAAACTCTTGAACCCATATGCTATATAGTAAAGTTTTGTTATAAATAAATATACTAATTATATAATTTTTGTAGATCAGTATGTGTAAAGTTCATAAAAATTTATTATAAAAATCTTTATTAATGATTATTACTATATTATGTATACTATATTTGTAAATTAACTAATGAGATACATTTCAACTTCTTATATATATAGTAATACAGCATGAGTTACTGGGGTGCTCGATATACTATGTAAATCAAAACTATATGTGGTCACTTAATATTTTAAATAGTCAGTGATTTTTTTAGTGATTAGTTATTAAATATAGTTAAATATAGTTTATATATAAAAGCTTTGTTTTACTTTTTTAGATGCACGGGTTACATTTATTCTTTTACCAAAAAATTTTAATTACCAATTGGTTTATTCTTACAATATTTACAAAGTTACGAGATTTATTTTTATATTATCTATGGTAAAAAATTTTTTTTCTGATCACTTTTATATGCAAATCAATTTCTTCATTCACTTAAAAAATTTTTAAGTAGCAGAAGTTTTTTTTCAATAAAATATAAATTTGGCTTTGTAACTTTGTTCTTTGGAACTTAATCTTGATTTGTGCAAAATTTGGATTCATAAGAACTAGTTTTAAGATCTGTACATCTAAAATAATTTTAAAAACTTCTATTTCAAAGAACCATGGGTATTTACAAGTCATACAAGCACTGATTTCAATTACAAAATGCCAATAAAATTCGTCTTAAAAAATGTAAAAAGAATCTATTATTACAAGAACAACTGCATCCTTTAACAAAGTATTTACCAATAAAGCAGTCACCAATGAAGTATCCGCCAATGAAGCAGCAACCAACAAAGTATCCACCAATGAAGCAGCAACCAACGAAGTATCTATGGAACATAATCAATTAACTTTAATAATACACCTATTACCTGAAAAAGATATATTACCAGTGACCAATCTTATTTCAATAATGAAATATCCGAAAGGTCCAAATCTGGAAGACATAATTTCACCATATTTGCAAAGAAAAATGCATAATTACTTTATACAAACTTTTTATAAATGTCAAATCAGTCATCAATCCTTAAAGGAATCAAATACATTATTAGAAAAAAAAAATAAAAAGCTTCATCAAAAGAATACAGCACTTGTTAGACAAACTCAATCACTTGGAGCAAAAGCTCAACACCTCTAGGGTCAAAAATCAAATTATATTGCTGAAATCTGTTCTTTAGTTAGTCACTCAAAACAAATTACTAATGAAAATTTTTGTAACAAAGTTAAATCAATTTTTAAACTAAATAATAAATCTTATTCTTCAAATACAGTATGGCTTGCAACAAACATTCTACAAGTAGGCCAAGTATCATTATGTTCTACTGTAGAATATATGCAATTAATTTATGAATTCTTGACAGGAGAACCCCCTCAAAATTTTTTATCAATATCTACTTTGCATACTTGGCACCAAGACATTTTAGAGTTGTATTTTAGAAGACAAATTACTCAAATAATGAATGCATCTGTATTTGGTATAATGATAGACGAATTGACGTGGAGGCAAACCAAAAATGTAGTACTCTGTTACCAATTCTGGAGTAATGAAAATCAGTTGCCTATTGCAATAGTCGCCCAATTACAAAATGTTATAAAATGTAACACTGAAGTTATATCAGATATTGTAGCTACGCATATTCAAAAAAATGGATTAGATGTTAAAAAATGCAAACTTTGGATAATGGACAATACCTCATACATGTCTAGGGATAAAAAAGGAGCAATAGTCCTTTTTAATAAAAAAACTAATGGAAACTCTTTACGAATTGGCTGCGGTCTCCATATTATCCAAATTATTATGAATCATTTTGAACAAGAAGCCTTTGGCTTACTCTCAAACACTACAGGATTTTCAAAAAAGCCACATGTTTATAATCTACTTTACCTTGCATGGAAATTACATAATGGATATGATTCCAGTGATAAAGACAAACCAATGAATATTAATTCACAAATAATCAAGAACTTGTATAACGGGTTATTAGGATATCACTATAACCAATACCAATTGCCACTTAGATCGCATTGGGGTTATGAGTTAAAAACAGCTAAGCAATACCTTAATCGACATTTAGCACATATTGAATTTACTCAATGATTTATTACTGAAATGGAAAAGCACAAAATGCCAAAATCATATCTAAATGATTGGCATCTATTTCACTTATGGCTCAATGATCCTAAGTTGAACATTCAAATTAAATGTTTAGTTAATTTTGCTGAACATTTTTATAAACCAGTGTTGCAATTTTTAGTTGAACATAATAAAATTCCTAGAATTTATCAGAATAATCAATTAAATGTTTTGCCTCCTGGTCAGCGAGCACATGAGATGCCTGACAAAGTTTACGAATAAAATAAGTATCTTGAAGATCTTGTTGATAACTTCGAAATGTTCTTTTCCGACGAGTTATTAGAAGCATTAGATAATTTAACTAGTGAAGAATTCAGAAGTTTTTTTAATGATTTGGAAAATGGAACCATCAAAGCTTTAAAATATTTTGAAAAATGGTTATTAGCATGGCTTCATCTACCTTTAGTTGTTTGTCGTCTTGGAAGTAACAATGCCAGGTCATTTGCTTCTAGTTTTTACTATGCAGTTTTAGAGAAATCTTGAATTACTCCACCAAATGATTTGGAGCTACGATTTGCAGAAGAATTGAAAACTGATATAAGAAATAGAATAACCAATACCTTTGGACTGCGTGAATTGCTATTGGAAAATAATAATTTTCTTAAAGAATTTAAAAAATTCTGTGCGAATAACAACTTACTAGTATATAATTTTTCTGAATTATATAATTTCATTAAAACCCAAATCTACTTTATAATTATTCATCAACAGCAAGTAGAGGGTCTATTTAACAAGCTAGATCTAAAGACACATTCAAACATGGCATTATTGGTTAAACAGTCTAAACTTCAATTGTCCTCAGATAAAATTGAAAAAGAAAATTTATTAGAAGAATTAAAGGTGATAAGAGTGAATCAAAAAAAAACTCCTCTTCAAGAAACTCAAACATCGCTATTTGGACCCAATATTGCCACAAATCTTTTTAAAAATTTATTATGTTAATTATTAAAATAACTTTTAAATATATGCTTTGTAATTTATTACATTTATTACTTTAATAAATCACAATAATTCATATTGATATATTTTATTATATTATACAGCATTGGTTATACTGATACGTATTGATCAATTAACAATCAACTAGGTTACACAAAATTTTTTATATTAAATTTTTATATAATACTATATATAGTTTTGATTTACATAGTATATCGAGCATCCCAATGAGTTACCTATCTTAAATCTCTTAAAACTTTAAAATTTATATAGAATATTTATATACATATGACTAACTTTTATTGATAATAATAATTATTTTAACACTATC